TGAATATAAAATTATGCAATGGAAATTTAGGTGCCTTTTTATGTTCCAAGTTCTGTGATGACCCCTAAACAAATAATGACAAACCAGGTATACACACCAACCAGAGGTCCTTGCCTCTGTGTCTCAGAAGTTCCTAAGGATATGAATTTTGAATTTAGAAGGAGAAAGGGGAACAGAACAGGAGGAGAGAGAAGTAATTAGTTAGAAAACCAAATCACCAAGTAATTGCAAGGATAGATTCTACATCTGGTTTTATTTCTTCAAAGAAAATACTAAGGTGTCATATCTTCATGTAAGTCTTCAGTTAAAAATACCATCATAATATAAAAACTTTAGAATCTTTATTCTAAAGGTGGGATTGATGGAATCGGATTTTATTTTCCTTTCCTTCTTTCTTTCTTTCTTTCTTTCTTTTTTTTTTTTGTCATGCTGGGGATTGAACCCAGGGCCTTGTGCATGTGAGACAAGCACTCTACCAACAGAGCTATATCCTCAGCCCTCTGGAAACAGATTTTCACATACATTTGTCTTTGAGCTACTTTGGTTTTATTTATATCATAGTATGTATGTTTCCCTCCCCCTCCCTCTCCCCCACTATCAGTTTGAGCTGCTATAGTAAAAATATTATAGATTGGATTGCTTATAAAGCAGACATTTACTCCTCACAGTTCTGTAAGCTACAAGTTTGAGATCAAGGTTGTCAGAAGATCCTGTGTCTGGTGAGGCCCTGTTCTCTGATTTGTACATTTATACATTTCTACTTGTATTCTCATGGTTGGTAATAGACAGCAAGAAAGCCAGCTTTCTTCTATCTTTTTGTAAAGGCTCTACTTCCATTCATGAAGGCTCCACCCTCATGACCTGATTATCTCCCAAAGGGCTACCTCCTAATACCATCAAATTAGGGTTAGGATTTCAAGATGTTAATTTTGGTAGTATATAAACTTTCAGTCCACAACACTCTCTTTGTATGTTTTTTTTCTTCCTTGTCTCCTCCTCTTGTAAATTTCTGACACTTTAGGTCCATCCTCTTCATTTTTGTCTTTTACTAAATTAAGTAACTGATGAACAATATTTATTACAAACAAGAAAATGAGAGGAGTAGTTAATGTTTCTCTTTTTTTTAAACAAAATTACCTTTTATGTGGCCTTATACTATGACTCTGGTGTCCTTGGTAAGCAATAAATACCTTCATCCCCAGTATGATAACAGGGAAATCAAGATAAAAGAATTCCAGGGTACTGTGGATAGGATGTGGATGTTGAGAGGAAGTTGAATATTGAGAAAAGCTATTTGTTCTTGATTGCAATAAAGGTGTGTTTGTTTACTGATATCTTTTCTAACAGATAACAATTATAAGTATAGGAGAAAAGTTTTGATGGTCCATTGAAGTACAGATGGTTTGCTTTAGAAGTTCTGTGTATTTTTTATAGTTTATGCGTTAATTCTGAGATTAACAAGGTAAATTCTAGTGCCACTGTGCCATAATGCAGCCATTTACTATGATGACTTCATTGGTGGAGTCACAAGAGCTTTGGGGCCCTGAATCTGAAGCAGGCCTTTGACTTCTCTCCCCTTTCTTCAGTTATCCTTGTCTCCCTGTAACTTTTGTCTTTCCCTTTTAGCATTATCTTCACTGATACTCTTTTCCAAAAGATTTCTTATGCTCACTCAATTTTCTAAGCCTTTTCCTTCCAAATTCAACTTTTATTAGTGGTCTACATGCCTTGCTGTCTTCAAACCATACACTAAACTGATAAACACAAAACTTATCCAAGTGATTCAAATGCAGAGTGGGAGAAGTCTTGAGTCCATAATATTTAAATGTGCACACACACACACACACTTATTTCATTAATGCTACCAGTAAAATGTTCAAACTTAACTAGGATTTTTGAAGAATTTCCCCTTATTGGCCAGGTTGGGTCACTCACCACTGCAATTGTTTATTATACATGGTACACTTAGTACAATATGACTCTCACTATGGTAGCTTTCTACAGACACAATTAATGTTTTAATGTAAAAATATCAGTCATAAAAAATCAGTCATAATAAGGGATAATATCCAGTGAGACAAGAGTCACTGGTTAAACACTTTTGGTGTATTGAAAAACCATCCACAAAAATAATTTCTTTGTAAAACTTTTTCCTTATTTAAATGGTATTGAAGTTTTTTTCTAACATGTTGGATTTAAAGTTCCCTATAATATAACTGTGCAACTGTTAAATTTTAAACATTGTTCATTCTTGCCCTCCTTTTTTGACTTATCAGTTAATTCTGAGCCAGTTATTAAACCTCTCATCATCTGTGAGATCTGAATGAACCTTGAGCTCAATGCTTTTATATTTTTTTGTAGAACTGGATTGTTTCAAAAAATTAGCAAGAAAGAAAACCAGAGATGGCAAACCACCTAAAACTACTAAGTGCACTTGTGTGCATGTGCGTGCGTGCGTGCATGCGTGTGTGTGTGTGTGTGTGTGTGTCTGTGTGTGTGT